ATATATATATTAATTCTTGTGAGTTTGAAAATGAAAGGGGTAGCATTAGTGGAGTGAATGATATATTATGACAAAATTTGAGCTAAAATACGAGTTAAGTATAATGTAGAGATGTTGTGTTGTGAAAGATAAATGTGTAGGTAAGAGATATCGTGTGTGTTTGTCACTTATAGAGGATTAAAAATCATTACTAAGATTGCTTGACTTATTACTTGCATAATCACAAATTAGATTCATTCATGGATGCTTGAAGGCAAAAATCATAAACATTGTTTTAGCATGGGAGGAGTTGTTGTCAATAAGTTTTGTGTTTTAACTAACAAAAGTATAGATGTATATGAAGGCTATGATGAAGGATAAAAAAAGTATCAGGTAGAAAGCCATTTCTAAACATCGGTATAATTATTTTTACTAAGTATTACACCGTTCAATAACTTTATATTAAATGAGAATTTTGTAAATCCAATTGTTAAATTGAAAATTCTTTACTCTTACATCATATGTACAAAATTTTATATTAATCTAAGATGATTTGATACTTCATTCTTATAAAACAAAATTAACCTAATATAGATATTTCAAAATATTTTAAAATATGAACATTTTGTTACCTTCACGATGTTGTTCAATTTTAACAAAATTTAATATAAACATATAAAGTGATATGAACTTTTAATCTGTTGGTTGGATTTACAAAATTCACATTTAATATAAAGTTATTGAGCGATGTGTAATACTTAGTAAAAGTTACCACCGGTATTAGTATAACAATCCTTTCTCTCTCTCTAAATTATCCGTCACTAAATATTTTGTGACGTCAATTTTTGTGACGAAATCAATTCTATCACAAATTTCGTCACTAATTTATTTTGTGACGGATTTTATAAAATTTAGTGACGGATTCGTTCCCTCTCTAATTTTAATTTTTCTAATAGTGTAAGTTGGTTTATTATCTCTTGAAGACAAACAAAATATTGAGATTTTTTTTATCTATGAGACTATTTTAACTAACATTATTTCATTCCTTGAAGAAAGTGTTCTAATGTATTAATGTTTGTCTTCTCATATTCAATAATGCAAGAAATTAATGTTAGTACCATATTTGGTACTACAAATATAATTGAAGGTTTCGGACGAGCTAATATATTGTTACTAGGAGGAACGAAGTTGCATATTTAAAATGCATTATATTCTTCTAAGTCTTATAGAAACTTATTAAGTTTCAAGGATATTCGTTTAAATAAGTTTCATATTGAAACAAACAATAAATGGAATGTAGAATATCTTTATATCATTAAACTCCATTTGAATAAAAGGGAAGTATTGAAAAAATTATCCATTTTTTCCTATGAACTGTATTGCATGTATATTAATACAGTCGAAACACATACTATTGCAAATTAGACATTTACAAATCAAAATAAATATGAGGTTTGGCATGATCGGTTGGATCACCTTGGGACTATCATGATGCGAAAAATAAATTCATGTGGACATTTATTGAAGATCCAGGAGATTCTTCAGTCAAATATTTTCTTATGTATTGCTTGATCCCAAGGAAAGTTAATAATTAAACCATCACTGACAAAAATTGGGAATGAATCTATCTTATTTTTAGAACAAAATCTTATTTTTAGAACGAATATAAGGTGATATTTGTGGACCAATATACCCCCCATGTCGACCATTTAGATATTTTATGGTTTTAATTGATGCATCAGCAAGATGGTCAAATCTTTGTTTATTATCAACTCGCAACCAGACGTTTGCGAGATTATTATCTCAACTAATTAGATTAAGAGCTCATTTTTCTGACTATCCAATTAAAAAAATTTGTTTGGATAATGCTGGTGAATTCACATCTCATGCTTTTAATGAGTATTGTATGTCCATTGGAATTGATATTGAACATCCAGTAGCACATATTCATACACAAAATGGACTTGTAAAATCATTTATCAAACGTTTAAAATTAATTGCAAGACCATTACTCATAAGATCAAAACTTTCAATGTCAACTTGGGGCCATGTAATCTTACATGCCGAAATATTAATTCGCATCAAGCCAACAAGTTATCACAAATTCTCTTCTTTACAATTGGTTTTTGGTGAGCATCCCAATATTTCTCATTTAAGAATCTTTGGGTGTGTTGTATATGTTCCAATTTCCCCCTTCAAAGAACTAAAATGAGTCCTCAATGAAGGTTGGGAATAGATGTTGGGTATGAATTTCCATCTATAATAAAATATCTTGAACCATTAACAGGAGATTTATTTACGGCTCGGTTTGTCGATTGTTATTTTAATGAGTTGATTTTCCCAATAGTAGGGGGAGAACACAAATAGCTAGAAAAAATATTAGTTGAAATGAATTATCACTATTTCATCTTGATCCTCGTACAAAAAAATGTGAATTGGAAGTTCAAAAAGATAATTCATTTGTAAAATCTAGCCAAACAATTGCCAAATGTATTCACAGATACAAAAAAGGGTGACTAAGTCATATGTACCAGCAGCTAATGCTCCAATAAGAGTCGAAGTCCTTGTTGGACAATCTAATACTACAAACAAGTCACAAATATGTCTGAAGCATGGTACACCAATTGGTTCCAAGGATAAGAATCGTTGAATAGAAAAGGGGGCTAAAGAGTAAAATGACCAAATTGAGTATGTAAAAACTCAAAAAGATTCCTCTAACATAATTAATATTCCAGTTCCAGAAGAAACTCACGTACCTAAAATTATTGAAAATGAAAAAATCTCAATAAATTATGTCATGAGTGAAATACGATGGAATCGAAATAATGTTAATATTGATGATGTGTTTGCATATAATATAGCACTAAATGTAATAAATGATATTGAGGATTAAGAACCAAAGTCCATCAACGATTGTCGAAAAATAAAATGATTAGTTAAAATGGAAAGATGCAATTAAGGCAGAATAAGACTCACTTGCTAAGCGAAAAGTTTTTAGACCAGTACTACGTGCACCAAAAGGTGTAAAACTAGTTGGATACAAATAGGTTTTTGTGCAAAAACGAAATGAAAATGGTGAAATTGTGACATACAAAGCAAGACTAGTTGTTGAAGGATTTTTACAAAGACTTGATATTGATTTTGAAGAGACATATTCACCTATAGTGGATGCAAGTACTTTTCGATATTTAATTAGTTTGGTTGAACATAAAAAACTTAATTTACACCTAATGAATGTAGTTACAACATATTTGTATGACTCTCTTGATGCTAACATTTATATGAAACTCCTAGAAGGATTTAATTTGCCTAACGATGTAATTTTTAGAAAAGATTATTCAATCAAGTTGAATAAGTCCCTATATGGGATAAAGCAATCATGTTGTATGTGGTTTAATCGACTAAGTGAATATTTGTTACAAGAAGGATATAAAAATGACCCAATTTATCCGTGTATATTTATAAAAGGATCTGAAAATGGATTTGCCATAATTGTAGTTTATGTAGATGACATAAACATTATTGGAACTCCTGAAGAGCTTTCAAAAGCAATAAATTGCCTAAAGAAAGAATTTGAAATGAAAGATCTAGGAAGGACAAAGTTTTGTCCAATATTGCAAATTGAATATTTAGAAAATGGAATTCTTGTGCATCAAGAAGCTTACGTAACAAAGGTGCTTAAAAGGTTTTATATGGACAAATCACATCCATTGAGTGCTCTCATGGTTGTAAGATCTTTAGATGTTAACAAAGATCCATTTAGACCTGTCGTAACTGGAATCACGATGGGATGACGCAAACATTTCTTTTCAATGGAGCCGTCGCAACCCGAAAATTTCTGATCTTGCGCGACCTATGGTTTAGACATCCTTTTAAAAGTGTCATTAATTAAAGAATGTCCGACACTAGACTAATTCTTAATTAATGGTTTTGAAAATAGGTACCTATTGGGCCGACCCTCCCTGAACAAGCTCCGATCTATCATCTCCACCCCTCACTTAGCTATGAAGTTCCCCTCGGAAGAAGGAACGGTTATCACTCTGCACGCCGACCAAAAGACGGCCGGAGGGTCGGCCCAATAGGATGTTGTACGAGGTATTAGCATGCACCACCACGTATCGTACTTTAATCCTTCGTCTTTGTTGTTCGTCCCCGAAGTAGGTGCATAGGTCTATCGCTCCCCGGGTGTCCACTCTTTCGCCAGAAAATCTAACCAACGGTTCATCGTAAGGTGTCAACTCTTGTTCAGGTATGCCGAGCTGCTCGAATGTCTTCCAGTATAAGATGTCAGTCGAGCTTCCTTGATCGATGAGTGTCTTTTTCACAAGGA